ACCTATCAGTCCTTCCCCGGAGGGGCTCTGGCCGCGATGACGGCCTTGGAGGCAGAGAGACACCCAGTGGCCCTGCAGCTCGTCCAGGGACCGAGTCTGACTGCTGCATGTCCCGTTCCTATGCAGGGACTTTGGGGAGCAGAGCCACATAGGGTGGAACCCTCTGGCACCAGCAATGTCAATGGCAAGCCGCCAGTGTCTCCTCAGAGGCAGGAAGACACGAATCTGTGTTAGCCTCCCCCACCCCCACCCCCGACCCCGCCTCAGGGGCAGACACCTTACAACAGAGGCTGCCCAGCTGATCCCATGCTGCACATCCGTGACCCCACAGACGTGCCCTGTTTACCTGGCACAACCTTTGTAGCCAATCCTTTACAAACTGAAGGTGGCACAAGGTCCGATGCCCTGTTTGTCTTGAAAAGTTGAGGGGGATTTCAGGAGCGCAATCGTGTGGTGTGAGCAGCTAACCTCAGCTTCCAGACAAGGGGCCATGGGAGGCAAATGAGCTCACTGTGTGTCGGGCGCATTCAGACCCCGGTCATGACCCACTCCACATCGTCCAGTGCCAGAGGGAAACTCACCTGGGAACCCTCGTCTAACCAGAACCCCAGCCACCAGTTGCTGAAGGCAGAGCTGCCGCTCATCAGGAGGAAGAGGGACACTGCGAAGAGAGAGAGGAGGTACCCTGCGAGAGGAGGGGAGAGGTCCGAGGGGTTACCCGGCCAGGGGCCGCAGGGCCGCGGCTTCCGCAGGGCCCAACGCTGATGGGGAGTCCAAAACCTGCACGAGAACGCCCCCACCCCTCCCCTAGAAGGGAACCACCTTCCAGGCTGGTGGGACAGGTCTGGGTGTTGGGTCCGAGAACCCCAGTGGGGACATCTGTTCCACCTGCTTGGAAAGTGGGTTCCAGTTGTCAACATATTGGAGAAACCACCAAAATGCACTTTAATGGAAGTGACTCAGTACTCTCTAAAAACAAACCAATAAAACCCAGGCTTGCTGGGGAGACACAGGGAATGAAAGTATACAGGTGTGTTTTGTGTGCCGACATGGAAACCGTGCTTCGAGCTGATTACTGAGGCTCCCAGTGAGGGCAGGGAAGTCACAGAAGAACCATAGCTGGTGCTGCTGCCGCTCACTCTGCTTCAATAAACAGAGTCTGGCAGCTTTGATGGAGATAAAGGAGGATTCCATTTAAAAGGCCGCATTGTCAGACCTCCGATTTTTAGGGGGGAAATTAAAAGCATGGATAAGCAGCCTTAGCATGAAGAGTCACTGTTGAAGAAATCATAAAATGTGAACCCAACAGTCTAAGAAGGAATTCTTTTAAATACAAAGTAAATTTAAAAACCCGTTGTTTTATACCGAACCTCCAGACGCCTTAATGTACGCGTGATACGTTCTCCAGGTCACGGTTCCTTCCCGGGGGGATTCAGTCTGGACGAGCTGGTGCACTGGAGCTGTGGCGATAAACACAAATCCACTGGCTGGGCAGGTGCCCGGCAGGGCAGGCGCAGCCCTCCCGCGTGCCCCATGCCCCACTCAGGGCGGTTACCCTTCCCTGCCGTTTGCTCTATGCTTTCAAATTCCTAACTCACTTTTGCTCATTTTATTTTGTTTGGTCCTCATGACAGCCTGTGAGGCAGGTGGCTTTTGGTCTTTCAAGACATATTTACTAAGCACCTACTATGTGCTCAGCCCTAGGGAGANCGTTGCTCCGACCTCTCCAGGGTCTTGCAGCTAGTTTTGCAGCAGAGCTGGGGCTCTGGGGCAAATTTCTCTGATTTCCAACCCTTTGCCCTCATGCAACACTCACCATGCTACCTGCTGAGAACTCCAGCTCGCCCAGGAGCAGGGAGGAGCTGGGTGTCCCGGTAGCCTGGGGTCAGTGCTGCCCTCCTGCGTTCCCCCAGGGTGAGCATGGAGGTGGGCACGGGGCACAGCCTCAGTAGGACGCCCCAGTGCCAAGCAGCCTGAAGCCTTTCTCTGCCCACATCAGTGGTTAGGGCAAGGGTGAGTGCTCAGAGCTCAGAGTGACGAAGGACTGGTCTCTCTTCTCCAGCAGCAGGGAGGGCAGGCAGAGCCCCATCCTGGCCGTGGCTTCTTCTCTGCATCACGCCCACCTCAGGGCTGCACTCAGACTCAAATGCTGGATGTACGCAAAGCACTTAGCACAGCCCTGGCGTTTCATCAGTGCAAAACTCAGTGTGCTCCACTGTTTAGACAGGACAGCACCACCTGACACCACCCGGTCATTGTGCGGAGTTAACCAAACGTGTAGGTTTTGTTTGCTCCTTTTTATAAAATAGTGCACTGACCTACCGTAAAAGAATAAAGACGCCCACAGCAAGGCCGGCCAGGACTAGAAGGACGGCAGGAAACACAGCTGCCAGTATCACGAGGATGAACACCACCATGAAGACCTGCTGCAGAAAGTTCTCGGCGTGGAACGGCAGCCTCACGTCCAGCTCGTCCATGTCCTTGGAAGAACGGTTCATCAGCCTGCCGGTGGGCGTCGTGTCGAAGAGGCTCATTGGGCTCTGTGAGATCTGTGGACACAGTTGGAGCGTCAGCGCCTGAGGTGTGTGTTTAGTGCACGCTGGGACTGGGCTGATGAGTGCAGGCAGGGCTTGGCCTTCCTTCCGGGACCCAACACAATGTGCCAGCAATCCCGGGCAAGTGGTCGCCATGAATGACAGTGAATGTGCGAGAGAGCTGGCTCCTGTCTGCAGCTTCCCTCCAAACCTGGGGCACAGCCTGGGGTCCCTTTGGAGGAGGGAAGGTTTTGGTGCCCCATGCCAGTAAAAGGCCAAGTTCCACCATGCCTGTCAGTCCCTAAAATGTGGGTCACAGCTGTGTACTCTGGCCAGGGACCTCACGGCCAGCGGCGATGCCCACTGCAGCAGTGGCACGAGAAGGGGCCTAAAGCACCTCGTGAGGCCCTCGGTGTGCTCAGGGCTCTTTGGAGCAGGAAGATGCCCTCTTGGCCTGCTCATGTCTGCTGCAGTGTGGCATCCTTGGGGAACCTCCCTGACTGCCCCCAGGCTAGCCTCAGGGCCCGCGACTACCGCGCCCTCACAGCTCCCTGGAGTTTGCTTTCACTGTGTAATTACATCTTGGGAGACTCTTCCCAGACTCGGCTGTAAGCTCCATGAGCCCTCTGTCTGTCCCCAGAGCCCAACATAGTGCCTGGCACATTGTAGGTGCTCAATAAACCCTGTTGACGGAGGGACCAGATAAGCATGCCGCTCCCGGGGGC